GCACAAGAGCAGCACACTGGTGTCAAGAAACAAGAAACCAATGTTAAAATTTTATGCAATAAAGGGGATTTCTAACAATTAATAATTCTAATAAAAATAGTTAAATTCCAGACATGAGTCAATCAGAATAAAATATTTTGATCTGCACTTTCCAAGATTAACTGTGTGGACTCAAACCTCCAGGGTGTGAGAGCAAGATCCTATGTGCATGTGTGTGTGTGTGTGCTTCCAGGACAGGGTCTAAATTGCCTGAAGGTAGGGGTCCAGGTGATTTTAGGAGCTGTGGAGCACCTGAGACACCTGCACATAGCCAGCAGTGATGTCTGCAGGCAGACCTCTGCCCCTCTGGATCAGCAGCAGCAGATTCTGAGATACAGCGAGATTTGAGATGCAGTGCAGCACAGAAAAAAAACCACATGCTTACCTTCAAGTGACTAAATCACAAGTGAGTGTCACTATATTTAGCACTGAGAAAGCTCTAGGGCAGTAAAAGTTCAGAGTATTACCATGGAGAAAATTGCAATTCCACACCTCCACAACCATCTGTTGTCCTGCTTTAGTTGAAACACAGCCATGCTCTGCCAAGGTGACGTGAAAACGAAATGTGCCAGGTAAGTGAACTCTGTGCTCATGATGAACAGAAAGTACACAACATATTGCATTAAATGAGGCATAACAGAGGGAGTTTTCTTAGATATACCATATTGAATCAATTTGTAACCCACAGATCCATTTATTATTCTAAATTCACGCTGCTAATTGGATCAGGAGATGAACTCACAGATAACTTCTGTTGATGAATACAATTAATAAAATGATGAAGGAATAATGTATAGTTGTCATAATTTGTGTATTGCTATTTTTCACTCAGCAACTGACTAAAACAACATATTGTTGTCTTAGATTATTGCATGGAGCAATAAAATTACTACTTCACATAAGCACTTAATAAAATACTGTATCTAGACTCTAAAGATTTAGCCAAAGTTAAAGTGGGTATTATTTTTATTTTCTTGCAGTATCTTGCATTTATTTGCATGAACTGAATTTGTCTGGATGTTTTGTGGGGCGGCAAACATTTTGCAATAGTTTTATGCAGCACATACCAAAGACTATAGAGAATTCTTGGAAATAAACGTCCAGTTCCTGGACAGTGGATCAGTGGATCAATGTCAGAGCTCAGCATATACAAAAGAAGAACAAAGACTCCTCAGAGAAGCCCAAGTTCCTCCAAATTCTTTGGAAAAAGGTCTTTTTAAGCACAATGCCCGTTCAGGAAGTTGCATTAGAAAACTCAGCAACTGTGGATCCATTTCGAATAGGCAGTAGAATGGGATCTGAATCTCTTGTATAAAATGTCCAAAGCAGCCTATGTCTGATATTAAGATGACTAATCAAAGTAATTTCCCCTAAGGTTTTCTAAGGAATTCCTTGTTTTTCAAGTGATTTTTTCTAGAAGTTGCAAATAGATGTGTGAGAAGCAGTTCTTATCTCTGTGGCAAAATCATTCTTATGCTGTCACACTTTTGTTTTTCCTTTTGGAAATATTTACACACAATTTACCAAACTTCAACACTTTGCAAATAACCATAGACAATTTGGAAAGAGAAAACTCTTAATTATGACTGAATACCTAGAAAAACAAGTTCAGAGTCACAAAACCAGGAAAGTAAAACCTCTTGTATAAATTATTCTCTATGTATCATTTCTACAAAGGTTTCCATTCCTATCTGAACATCAAAGGTATTCAGTTCCCAAAGGTGTTTGAGGATATTAGATGCCTAGAAAGCTGAGGTGGGAGGAATTTGAACAGGAAACCCCCAAAGATGGTGAAGAACATTTGCTTCTTGCTTGAGACTTGTTGGTCGTCTGCTCTGAATTTTTCCTGCTCAAAGGTTACTCTCTGCTACACCTCAGATGAAATCTGCCTCCACTGTGTCCACACAATGCAGTATGCAGGGTAAGACAAGTAGCTAGTGATGGCTCACATGTCACGGGCCTTCCAAAAGTCCTCGTGTCCTGGGAAATGTAATATTTTGAAGAGTTGTGAACCTCTTCAAAGGTGAAGAGGGTTGGAAGAGGGCAGAAGTCTGCAAGTGTGGAACTTTAGCTTTGCTGCAGAGGTAGCAAAAAGACTGGAAAATAGAGTACTGGGCAAATTGTACTGTTTTTGACCTCAGGGAAAATATCAGATACTGATACATACCGAAAAGGAGAAAAATCTCCATTTAACTAGAGAAAGCACTACTAAACCCATACATGAAGCTATTGTGTAACTATAGAGAAAAAAATATCCTTGTGGTATTCTCTTAACATATGAAAAGCTGAATGCTCCCCTGCAGAACTAAGCTGTCAGATTTGAAAATTAAATTTTAACACTACCTCTCCTTCAAGTGTGGACTTCTCCTTGCTAATTTTTCCTTAACCAGAAATATGTCCATCATACTTTTTGGTAGTATGATAATTGATGAAGGTGGATGAAAAATGTAAGACCTTTTCTGAAATAATAAGGTATAATGTGAATTCTGCATCCTGTTCTAAGTCCTAAAATCTGTCAGCTCTGCAGTCACAGTGAGGATGCTGATAATAGCAGTAAGATTTCAGAAGCTGCACCAAATAAGTTGTTTTGTCCAGACTTGTCTATTGCATGTAATAAGCTCAATTCTATAAAAATCAAGTCATTACTGGAACTCCAGGAGTCAGAATGACAGTGACAAACTGCTAATTAATTCTTCCTCTGAAAAATGCAGTAATAATTGGATCAGGGAGTGATATGTGCATTGAAAAGCAAATGTATCCCCATGAACCTCTTTGGCCTAAGAGGTTTTTTAATATATCCATACTGGGGGTTTGGGAGGAAAGGCAGAATAGTTCATGTGTTCATGTCCTTTTTTTAGACAAAATACAGGCTATTTTAAACAACTTGCTTTTTTCACTCTCATAAGAAAAAATGTTTACATTTGAAGGCCTATCTGAACTGTATTGGAAACTGATACTCATGATTGTAAGAACCATTTCTCTTGGAAAAACACAGTACCACTCCTAGCCTCCAAATGAAGGCAACAGATGGGCAAAAAATAAGTAAACTGTGGAGAGAAAAAAATGGCAAATGAAAAAGAAGTCGACCAAAAGAGGCATCAGTAGTTGCTTTCTCTACAACAAATCCTGTTCAATTATTGGGCCTTCTTCAGAAGCAAACTGAAAAAACTTAAAGTACCATCTATTTGCTGGTTGTTACAAATGATACTATAGGGTTTATTTGCACCATGATAGCACCATACAAGTTCTCCTTGCTCAGATATAATACATTTAATGAAACTCTAATAAAAACCTTGGGTCATCTTTTCATTCCTTTACCCTCGTTAAAAAAAAAAAAAAAAAGGAATACCAGGGAAATGAAGAAAATCCCACAGAACAAGTTTTCAGCCAAAAGTAAAGTCCTGTCTTTCCCAAATATACCCTTACTCAATCAATTTAAGATAAACAGCGAGTACACCTTCAGGTCACTTTGTGGTGGAACAAGCCCTATATTGTTGATGACCATAATGGACCATGTCCATCTCCAGTTCTCTCCCACATTTCCTATTCCTGTATTTCACTCAGCACCACCCTGCCAAGCTCTCCCATGATGGCAGAGCTCTCTGAGGGTGCTGACACACCTTGCACAAAATATGGTAGATTTAGCAGCTGCGAGACACCCAGCACACAGCAGTGTCAGTGAACCAATGGTGCTGCAGAAGAGCTCTATTTTCATTTTATCTCCACTGCACACAGCTCAGTGCTGCTTTTTTGTGCTGTTGACCCAGCACAACGTGGTACAGACTTAGCTTTAGGGAGCCCCCATATCTTTAAGCTGAGGTTCTCAATATCCAGTTTGTTCTATCAACTACTTGATTGACAGGATTGGCTTCTCTAATATAAATCTATTTGAAATATATGCCCACTGTAGCCTTAATCCTTAGCATACATTATAGCTGTTATCAGGAGAGCACAGCTCACAAAAATTACAGGGTATCTCCCATATTAGCCACCAGTTCATGGCAGCAAATACAAAATAAAAAGCAAAAAAAAAATCTGTCTCATGACTCAACACAGGTCACATCCAAAGTTGGGGCCACCCTTCATCCCAAGCCAAACCACAGCTTCCAGGGCAGGACACAAAGCCAGGTCCGATTCAAGCTCCAAACAACTTGCACTATACTTTTTAATGTTTCAATAAAGCAAAGCAAAGACCTTTCAGGGAAATTCTCTCTGATCAGCACAGCAGTTCTGAGCCCCACAGTTCTGTGCATTTGCCACGTGCAAAAATCCATTTGGTCTCCAAGGGCAGGAGAAAAGGAAGATCAAAGACAAGCCCCACTACACAGATCCCAGAGGAGAATTTGTCATAATCCCGTGTTCCATCTTTTACCTTGAAGCATAGAGCAAATGAGAAAGGAAAGAAAATGATGTCTTAATACTGTATGCAATTAGCAGTCAGAGGGAACTCACCCAATAATTTTTTCCAGATATTGTATAACTTTTTGGAGGATACATTTAACCCTCTCTGCTCCACTCTGCTCATTTCATTAAATAATATTTAATTACTTTTCAAAGCCTTGATGGCAATCCATTTTAACAGCTGTGCACCCAGGACTCTTCCCCAGAAGGAGAATTTCCCTCATGCATCCATAAAACCACCACACAGTCCTGAAACCTCTTGCTGATAATACAGAAGAGCAAAAGAAACATCTGAGGAGTAATGGGATTGCCATTTCTGATTCTCTCCTCTCCTTCCCAGATCTCTGCACTGGGTTTTATTGAGTAAAGGGGGTTGTATTTACTCTTTGTGTGTCTGCATTCCAATCTGAGTGGAGAGCTGGCTGCAGCACAAGATCAATCACAATTATGATGCCCACACAGTCCAAGTTATGGTCTGAGCTTCAATGCCAATGAAGAATTGCTGACTTGTGTCGTATTTCGAAAGAAAGAAAGGAAATTTAAAAAGGGAAGTGCAGTACCTGAATTTGAAGAACCCAGATAATTTGTGCATGCTTTATTCCTCTCAAACACCTCTGTCAATACGAGAAATCTTTGAAGACCTGTATTTTCTGTCACAAATCTTTTCATCTGAAAAAGAAAGGCACACAGTACAAGATTGCTATTTAAAGGAGCAATGACAAAACTAGTGTGGAGCAGTCAAATCACTGGATCTTCTGTGTGCAGGCATACCTGCAAAATCAACCCACCTGAGAAAGCTGTTGAGGTAGCAAAGCATTATTTTTTTTCCTATTTACAATTGCTTAAGCTTTTAGTATGTTTGTACCTAGAAGGATGGTGAAAAGAGATATTATAATCACATTCTGCAATTCAATTTTGGCTGTCTTTCCACCCAGGCAAAAGACTATTAGGTTAAATTTATTAAAATGGCAGGTAAAAGGTACAGAAATTCTTTATATTTCTGCAATAGGTAAACTTCAAAAGGGAAAAGATTTGAAAGCAAGTTGTAATGACCAATTATCTGAGAGAAGCAGTACTAGGGAGATGCTGGAATCAAATTGCTCATTTAAATAAGGAAAGAATAAAAAGTTGCAAGTGTGACACCAAACATGGCTGTAATGGTGTGGGGTTAATTGGATTGAAGGGAGCAGCTTGGGCTCTCCAGTGTGCTGGAGCTGACAGAGACCACAGGCAGCAAAGAGCACAGCGAAGGGAGAGGCAGGACAAAAAGGTCTAACAATGTTTAGGCTGCTGGCAATTCTAAGACAAAAGAATTCAAAGAAAAAAAAAGAATTGGCTCTGGAAGTTTTCAGGCCAGAAGATACTTGCTATTTTAAGGTATGGCACTTCATTCCTTTAGAAATAAGTTTATTTTGTGTGTGGGTGCATCACTCATTTGGATTCTCCTCAATATTCCTAATAAAAACCCCAAATTTGTAGATTTAGAATAAATTATAATAATTTCAGATTAAGATAACAATTATAGAAGTGAGGAAAATAGATAAATATATATTTACTGACTACATCTACATATTTGAACAAAAGTAATATCAAATACTACAATTTAACTTCACATTTCCTTGCATCAAGCTCCAGTCAGAAATACCAGAAACCTTTCAATTATAACAAAACTGGCTGAAAGGTCACCCTTTCCCCAAACTATGGCTAAATAGATTTAATCTTCTCAGTCTAGTATTACAGCCAGAGCAAAGTGTTTATGATCAATTCAATTAAAATGGTAATTTCAGGGGGACTGGCAGCTCTCCTAGACTGTAAAGAGTTCTAGTTTACTTGAAATCCCATGGCACAAGGTAATAATATGGGATGTTTGCAGTTCTGTCACTGTGGTAATTTTCCATGATATTACACTGAAACACTTGCACAAATATAACTGCAGATAACACACACCAAAAAGGAGGTATAATATTTAATTTTAATGTAATTATCACATCCCACTGAAAATACATGACTAAGATCAAAAGATAATTACAATACAGACCAGTGAGAGCTCTGTTTTAATCAGAAGCAGCTCTGAATCAAAGCATTCTGCTTGCCAAAGTGAGTGCCTTGTTGGGTCAAATAAGCTCACACAGTCCCTCAGAAGAAGTCATTGGAATTACATCATTATTTTCAGCTCTTGCAGGGTTTGATAGTGTAGCAGACCCTGAAGCAAAGCTTTGCCTTTGGTTGCAATTATATAAACTTCACAGTTTTTACCTCAGGTCCTCCTGAATAGTTTTGTGATAAGCCATAAGCATAAACCAGTAAGCAATTGTTGTTACAGAGATCTATTAATAGATATTTCTCTTTTAAAAGAAAAAAAAAGAAAAGAAAAAAAAGATAATGCTAGTCACATTCAGCACTAATGCACAGAGCATTTTAAAGGGAAAACTGCCAACTTGAAATTTCATTTCCTTCTGATTACTTCAGACATACCCAGAAGCTAACAAAAAGAGTGAAGATCTGTATTTTTGTAACATCCCCTCCTCTCCTCCTCTTTTTGGCAAAGTGCTCACAAATGTGACAATCTCTGCTCATTTCCCTGCTTTTTTGGTGGCAAACACATTGCCATGGTGTGCTCTGAGGCTGGGCACTCACATAACACTTCCCCTGGTTTGGCAGAAAGCAGCAGAGCGAGGCAGGAGTTCTAAGGGATTGCAGTGAAGGAACAGGCACACACTCAAGGGAAAATCAAGATGATAAATGTCATCTTGCTTATTATCATTGTTCTAGGATCACCAAAAAGAACTTTCAAAAGCAGTATTAGAAAATGAGTGGGAAAGGCCCCCAAAGGACAATGAGAACTTTTCAACACATCTTCTTGTAAGTAATGTGAGAGTTTAGAGGTTTTTGCATTTGGACTTCAGTGAACTAAGGAAGGAACTGGTTGAGGACTTAATCCTGACGGTGGTCAAATGAAAAAACTGCAGATTCACAAACATCATTTAGTAAGTTGGAGCTCTTTCTTGCTTACACTGCAATCTCTGCTGAGACCAAAGCCTGGCTAGGTGTACCTGCCCCAGCCTTCAGCTGAATAGCTGAGAGCAGTACAGCTGCAGGAAAAAAAAAAAAAAACAAGCTCAGTCTGGACTGCAAAACCCTTCAGAAAAGCAAATATTTAGGTTGCTGGCTGGCACTGAAATCAGCACTGCCATGGCTGAGAGTGCAAGCCAAGGCAATGTGCTTACACACTGAATGTTCTTAGCAACACAGAATTCACATTCTGTTGGTCTTGATACACCTGCAAGCACAGTGACTGCAGAGCTCACTCAGTTGGGACAGGGAGAGGAGAAGTAAAAATGTAAAGAAATATGTGCCAATTTGCTGAGTGAAAATGTATGCAGTCAGAATAGCATGGGAATCATAGAACCTTACCCCTTTAATGGCATCAAACACTGCGGCAGTAAAAAATTTTCTGTTGAAGCTCTTAGAAATCTAACCAAGCATTAGTGATGTAAAAGAAAAAGGCCCCACACTAACCAAAATTACTGTCTAAATCTTTTGTTAAATTCAGCAAACCTTAAAGTAGGTTCTTGCAAGTGACACATTTCACAAATCATATATCTGCTTTTTTTAGTGATGACCTGTTTGAATGTTCAACAGTGACCTGAGATTGTGGGTGTGCTGTTGAGTAAAAGACAGACAGATGGGACCCTGGGTGATACACAAAGTAGAACAAAGCGAAGAATTACTGTCAGGTAATATACAAAGTCCCCAGTTTAGGACAGTGACTTCATGAATACAGCTCCTAAAAGCACTACTCAGCTTTCAGCAGACATTTGGCTCAAAAGATCTCTGAAACATGGAGTGTAAGAAATCAAGCTGCTTTGGATTCCTAGCACCATCATTTGTTAAGATGCAAGTGCTGAAGGAACTGAAAGACACGATGTACACCAAAGAATGGGCAACTGCACAATGAACAGTGCAAGAGAAAAGCACACAAAGGAAAAATGAACTTACAGTTTCTTCAGGAAGTCTGAAATATTCTCAAAGCGAAGTGTAGGCTCATTCTTACTGAAACATACCCAAAGCAGCAGATCCACATTCAACATCTGTCGAGCAGTGACAGGAATGTAGAAGTGGAGATGAAACCCTCTGGGGGACAGAAACATGAAGACAATGTTATTCTGCCACAGAAATTTGGGATGTTATGTAGTTTAAGAAGCTCAGTGTGTTGATGTGACATTTTAAGGGCTGTGGTAGTTTTGTGGTGGTTGGTTTTGGCCGCTACTTTCATCTATCTGACTCAAAGCAGTTAAGTGCTCCCAAAAATATTTCTGCACCTCTGTATTCCTTCATTACAAGAGGATCTGCTGCTATTTCCATTAATACAATCCTGGATGCTGGTAAGAACACACAGCTTAGCTTCTAATCAGCTGAAAAATTACAGCAGGAAGCAAGATATTCTTAGGCAGATTATAAAATTAAAATGTTCATGTGGGAGATGCTTTTAAAGTATTTTTTTCTTCCAGAGGAAAAAGAAAATACCCTCTCTTCTGTGTAGCAGGAAGATACAGCTGTAGTTAAAAGCAGAACCTTAAGAATATTTCAGGGTTCAGATTTCTTTTTTTGTATTCAAAGAGTTTTCTTTCCTTCTGACAGTAGGTTTCTTTGCCAATTTCCTTCTTCTAGAGTTTATAATTCCCGAGGTTGCCATGCTTTCAAGTGCTGTGCTGGGTATATGGATAATTACTGCTGTTGCTATTTGGGCTTAAATATTGATAAAGCTTTGCCTGTTTTGAAGCACCCTCCATTTCTTTTACTGATTTCTCCTCACAGACCTTTATGGAAGTGCAACTTTCTACGCAGGAGCAGGGAGCTTGACAATGTAATTTCTGAGATTGTTCCATGTTTGAAAAATCACATAAACACAATCATCCAGCCTGCCTTCAGTATTCACCCAGGATTTAGAAAGTTTGCCAGCTGGAAAACAGGAAAAGACAGGAGTAGAAATGGATTGAAAAAAACAAACACTTCATAAGAAAGATTTGCCAGTATTACCCAGAGAGCACCCTCAAATCCCAGCGAAAATCCTAAAATCCAGGCAAAAATATAATAAAAAAGTGGTTTGATGGAACCATGTGGACTTAGGGGATAAAACCCAGCTAGTTAATTTGAATTCAAACCAGAATTCTCAGGGAAAAAAAGTGTTATCATTGAGTTGAGGAGCAAACATCACAGTTTCTGCTGACAGATAAGCAAGAATTGAGCAGACCTTGAGGAATGAGAAGCAAAGGAAGAGAGAAAGAGGAATTACACTGCCAGCACCAAAACCTGAGGAAGGCAGCTGCCATTCAGCACAGCAGCATGGACCTGACTTTACAACACGAGCATCAAGAGACCAACAAGATGTTATCTGAATGTTTATAGTGTAGGTAAATTTCCACCTACCTAAAGTCATTAACAAAAATTTAAGAGTCAGTGCTTATCTTTTGTTAACAGCAGACTCAAAGCATCTGTAGAAAAAAATGTTTGAGTGAAGGAGCAAAAGAAAAATTTCCGGAACTACATTTCTCAACCACATATCATTTATAACCAGCCTGGCAACATTATTGTTTCAAGGCAGGCAACTTTAGAAAATATATGACCAGATACCCAAAAGCTCCTCCACTTTTAGTTTGTGCATATGGCCTTTGAGCACTATAATTTATGTTACCAGGGCTCACTTGTCCAGATGGACTTTTACAATATCCTTCTCACAGCTCTCCAGGTGTTGCAAATAAATAAAACACTTTATTTCAGGGGGATGAGAATAGAGCAGGAACCAGTGAGAGTTGCCAATGCAGATATTTTAGCAGCAGCCATTACAAAAATGTGTTGCAATATTACTATTAAGAATGCCAAGTGATTCTGTATATTTTTCAAATGTCACACATGACAAGCAAACCACAAAAACTACTTTCAGTAAACTGCTGAAATCAAGTTGACTGCTGTTAATGATACTGTCACAGTGTCAAATTCAGTAAGAGAATTTAGGGAGTTTAAGCAATAGAATGATAATTGGCCCACCTTGCTCTGTGAGATGCACCGTGCCACCAATATTAACAGCCAAAAAGAAAAGTGTGAAAGATTCAGTGGATTTCTACATGAGCAAATGGCCACTCCTTCACAGAGATTCAGGAGGCAGAAGAGTCTGAGTTTGTTGCATGAATAATTTGTTGCAAACCATTTATGACCTCGAGTCTACAGCGTATTAAATATTCACACATCTTGTTCAGAATGAAAAAGGCTGGAGCATGTGAGAAGGGATTCTGAATCCTCAGCAGCCTCACACAAAGTGGGCTCTGCCTGCAATCACAACTTCTCCTGGATTACTGGCAGAATATTAAACACTTTTGGCTTATTATTTGAGACAGAACTCACCTTTAATATAGGGGCTATTCTAATTACTTGAATATCCTTCCTAAAACATACTCTGGTTTTGTCTATGAAGGCTCAGACTCACAGGAATTATTTCAGAGTTGCCCAAATCTCCTTGTACATATGCCCGAAGTGACTGAATCGTTGGTGCCCTCCAAGTTTTCCAGTCCGTACTGCAGTTATTAAAACAAATTCAGGAGTATTATTGAAATTAAATGTCCATACAAACAATTAATTAGTTTTTTTTAACTGAAAAGGCCTAGTGGTATACTAGCTGGCAGAAATGCAAATCAGAGAAGCAGCAAAACCATCAAATGCTTCACATCAAGCCCACCACACATACAGAAATAGAACCATCTGTGGCCCTTCAGATCTGTAGATCTCAAATGACTGTAATCTTATCCTGAAAATTTAGTTTTCAATGAAAGTGTGGATTTGGACAGAAATTACTTTAGAAAGGTTTAGGTAAAATTAAGAACTTACATAGAAATAAAAACTTGATCAAAAAGTCAAATGTTCAAAAGAAACTCAGTGTGTTCAAAAGTATAGGAAGAAAGTCAAAAGATGACATTCAGCCCTAAAATAAATGATTTAACAAAATTTACTAAAATTAATCTGACACATACATGTGTATCCTTCAGAGACCATAACCAATATTAACTGCCTTTGAATTCTCTACCCCTATCCCTTTGAAAAGACAAAAATCTAAATCTAAAAATGAAACTGGACATATTCTTTAATAAACAGGCAGCTAAGTTTGGGACAGAGAAGGTCAGTCAAAGGTGTGAAATTAGGCATTCAAAAGAAAAAACACAAATTAATCCAAGGTCACCCAAGAATTGTTAATTCCATGCACTGTTGAGGTTGCTGTTTTTTCTCCTTGAGACTTTCACAGTCCTGGGGACAGCCTCAGACTCTTCTCCTGTTCTGTGTTTATTCAACACAGAGACAGTTGCAGCATTGTGTGACTTATCACAATGAACCCACAAGACTCGCATGTTAAATATTGACTACCAAATAATCACAACAAGTCATTCACTGAGAAAAGAGCAAAATAACTGAGGGAAAAAAATAAAACAACACTCAAAAAAACCAAGTGATAAGCTGTGTGAAAGCATTATCTCATCTCAAAGGACCATCCATAAACAGAAAGCTAAATTCATCATTTGTTCCCTGAATTAGTGGCTCAGCTCCAAGAGATAAATTAATCACATTATTCTAGAAAGAAATAAGGGGACTGGTTTCAAATTTCAGACAAAGGATCAAGGGGCTCTTAGTTAAGGATTTCTCATCTTTACCTGATTTCATAGTAATTTCCCAAGTTAAAACTCACTGATGACAAAGGAAATCCTCTCTCTTATTTAAATTAGCCTTGAGACATATTATGAACATATAATATCTAATCTTATGACCAGTTAGCTTCTAATTTCCTTCATATCTTTGTACATCACTGGCACTAAGGGTATGAGAGTGGTCCAAAAAAGTGCTTGGTGGAGTGAGGCAGGTCTGGAGCCCATTGCTGTGCTGGTCTTGGGGGCTCGGTTCTAACCCATCCCCTAATGCTGAAGGGAGGACACACACCTGTTGATTAGGCCAAAAATGAATTTAATTACTCACTAGTGCTATGATATCCATCATCAATTCCAAGGTTTAAGTACATAGACAAAATGGAGTAACCATTTTGCAAAAAGCTCAATTTTTAAACTTTTTTTATCAGAATGTAGCAAACTACAACCTCAAGGTTGCTTGAGCTTGAAATAAAAACAAGGCAGCCCTTTTTCCCAGAAAATATCCCCTGTTCCCACTAGTTGTGTTGAAGTTCCACACATCATGTGATGGGTTCTGCCTCCAGCTCCTGCCCACAGCCAGACCATAGCTTGGAAACAGTTTTAGAAAAAATTAGTGTTTGGTAGGGAGCTTCACATCTTAACCAGTCAGTCCACTGCAGGTAAGAAAACTACAGAATGCAGTCAAGAACGAGAAAGAAACTCAAATTATGCTGAGCCGAAATATCACTGTACAGTTGTCCTATATTTCCAGTGATACTCCAGCATATTTCCATGAACACAAGAAAGCATTCAGATAAAAGCAAAGGAAGGAATTGATTCTCTTCATGTTGCTGTTCATGCAAATTCACTGATATACTGGAGACAAAAAAAAAATTTAAAAGTTGACACCATTGTAGGAGAATTGGTCTGGAACCTGGCAAATGGAAGAAAACCCTGAATGTTTGGTCCATGTTGTAACAAATGTACAGTGCCAAAACAAAAGTGTGATTGTGTCAGGTATGTAATTTGTAGTCACAAAAGCACAGTTTTGGCCAGATGTCAGAGGCATTGGTGTTGTTACCATTAGAAGGGTAAAAAAAAATGAAAATTATATAAAATACAAGTGTCCAAAACAAGCCTGACCAGACTGAGCTGTTTCACATATACAGTATGCCCCCGCACTCTTTCATGTAAACTTTTGAAGTTTCTCACTGCAGATTGACTGGGGCAACCAGGAATGTGAAATTCCCTAATCCATCCACTTTCCTGACCATTAAACTGACTTATTTTGCTCTGTTAAGGAAAAACCTAATTAATGTACAGCGTGTGTGTTGAGTCACAATGTAGAGCAGCTTTGTGTCCTGCTCCTGTCAGTGCCTTTGGAAGTCTTTTCCAATGAACCTCTGCTGAAGTAATCACTCTGCCAAATATCAGTTGTAGAAGAGCTTGGTTTTTAACAAAAGGTCAAACAAAATTGTAGTGAAGGCCCATGGGATCCTTGCAAAAGGTCACTTCAGACAAAATGGATTCCCAGCTGAAGTACAGGTTTCACCACAGACTATATCTTCAGTGGGCTACCTTTTCAGAGAAAAACTCTAATTCAGAATCAAAATGAATGATTATAATTTTCTGTTCACAATCATCTGTAAATGAAGAGCCATTTGACATCCAGTAAATGAAACAATCAAATCCAGCTGCATGACTTGCAGGCAGTTAGTCAGGCCTCCAAATAAAACACTCAATTCCATGGCTGTTTTACTGATGATGGCAAATAAAGTTACAACGTGGTGTTACAGAACTGTAGTGATCTGTGGTATGAGGCTTTCTAAGACCTGCCCTCAAGAAATCTGTTTTCAGTTCTATGCTCGTTGAGCTGGATGAGCATTTCACAGTGAATAATTTACTTGATTAATTTAGGGCCATCCCTAGTTTTACAGAATTTCTTTGTGCTGACTTCTTTGGCCACTTTGTTAATTATTTGAAGTTGCAGAACAGATGGTTTGCTCACATGTATTTCTGCATAATGATTGCTCATGAACACTCTGTCCTGGATAGTGCTTTGAATACTTGCTATGCAGGCTCTGTGACTGGATTCTTAACTCACATAGCACATGGGCTGGGTTCCCAACTCACTTTTCTTTTCATGTCAAATAACTAAATATTTTCCCAAACCACACAAAAATCTTCCAAAAAGTGAGGGGAAAGTGTCTGGTTTAAAACAAAACTTCTTAAAGATATGTGCAAATTTCAATTTTTGAATAGCCTACCTGGAGCTATGAAAATTCAGATATTTATGTAGAGATATTAAGAATTTGATGAGAATGAAACCTGTATATTAAGGGATTGATGAAAATATATGCTAAGCAAAATAAGACTCAACATTTAGCAAAAGCAAATAAGTTGATTAAAAGGTACACACAAAGCAGACAAAAGCTGAAATGGATTTTACTGCTGTTGTCAGGAGAGATTCAGAGCTGGTCCAACAGATTGCCGGGCTTTTAACTGGAACAACAACAGCTCTCCTAGATGATGATGATGAAGCCATCAAATGGATGTCATCTGTTTAAACCAGGTAAGAATTTGGGCAAATTAGCTGTTGTTGAACCAGATATAATATTGGTCTAAAAAGCCCCTAGCAAGAACAATTCCTCAATAAGTCCCTATAAGAGCAAACAACAGTGATCCAATCCTTTTACTGCTAATGATGTGTTTATAGATATTTACCTCTGCAGCAGTTTCAGCAGCTGTATCTCGAATTGCCACTAATGCCTTTCTTCACTGATTAATAGAGTGAAGCTATTGAGACATAGGAGTTCCACTCTTTTTTTTCCCAGTGTAACATTGCCATCTACAGGAAGCTCTTCCTTACTCAGAAACTAATTTCACAATCACAGAATAGGAACCACTGAGGATGAAAATGTAAGTGTCCAAAATTAGCCCTGTTTGATCACCCTGACAAACTGTTATTTTAAAAATTAGCCAGTAATAATAAGGCTCACCAACAAAAGCAGTGTATTAACCTACTCTCTGGCAAGTTATTAAGCTGAAGGATTGGCATTAATCTAGTTGAATAATACATTAGGACAAAAAGAAACACGTATTAAGGACAAGAGACTTCAGATTTAGTTATTCATCATTAGTTGATATGTAAGGTTCTCATACTGCCATACAAAAATGTTATAATATTCTGTTCTACAGATGATTCAGAGAAGTCTTTCTTAGCATCTGCCTGTCTTCTCAGTTTTGTAAAAGGATTCATGCAACACAAATAATTTTTCATCACTGGATGTCTCTTCACAAGTACTAAATATATTGCCCAGAGAACCAAAAAAGCACAAATGCAAGAGCTTAATTTTAGACAGCTGCTTAATTTCAATCTCCACCTTAAAGACAGAATATTTGTGATGCTCAATATGGCATTGATTCATTTAGAGATATCAGTCTTCTAGAGCAAACTCTAAAGACAGTTTCACAACTATTAGCACCCTTCTAAAGAAAGAAAATGTCTTCAGGACTGAAATTCTGTGTCAGCTGACCAAGCACCCCAAGAAACTCCACAGGCAGGGTGATCTTTTATGTAGGAGCACTGAATTAGGGCTGACTAACTGAAATCTCTTAGTGAAACAGGGAAGAAAACCAGAATTAAATAGTGATCAATAAATAGTGGGGAAAAGCTGGGGAGGTGATAGGAGGCAACCTGAATGAAATAATCTGATTGAAAGTGTGATCTTTGATGTTAGAAAAAGTGGTTATTGACTTTAATTCAGGGAAGACAGAATGCTGCAGGACATTTTCATTTTTGGGAATCGAAGGAAGAAGTTAATCAGAGGCGAAAAGAACCAGCAGCAATAAAACAGACAAGATCTCAGATTTGAGGTGGAGACTTTCTATGTATGCAGATGAGT